ATCTTTCTCCCATACTGGATGCTTCCTGTCCTTGAACATCAGACTCCAACTTCTTCAGTTTTTGGACTCTGGGACCTTCAACCACAGACTGATGGCTGCACTGTCGGGTTCCCTACTTTTGAGGTTTTGGGACACAGACTGGCTTCCTTGCTCCCTAGCTTGTAGACGGCCTATTGTGGGACTTCACCTTGTGATCATGTGAGTCAATACTCCCTAACAAACTCCCCTCTATATATACATCTATCCTATTAGTTCTGTCCCTCTAGAGAACCCTGACTAATAAAATGGGCTAATAAATTGAAAGCAGTCCAACAACCATGACCAAAAAGCGTTGCTTGATGACTTCCTGAAGCTGGAGAGATTATCTTTTTCCATGTGTCCAGTTCAACATTTGGCAATGTTGTGCATGAATTACAGAGAAGTGATGTTAACCAAATTGCATACAACAAAAAGAGGAAAAGCAAATACAATAGGTGCTTTTCCAGCCTTCCAGAATGTTGCATAAGAATGAATAACATGTTGTGAGTAATGACAAATTCACTTTTTATTCAGATTCCAAAAATCAAATACTAGACCAGAGTGCTCTTGCTTAAAAATATTAAGAGCTCTAACCAAGTCAAGCCTGTAGCTAGGAATACAGGCACATGCCACCACACCTAGCTAATTTTAAAACCTTTTATAGAGAAGAGGTCTTGCTATGTTGCCCAGACTGGTCTTAAACTTCTGGCCTTATGTGAACCTATAGGGTAATATGACTACGAAAAAAAAAAAGTGTTTCCCATGAGCATGGTGTTGCAATGCACTCAGGAAGTAATAGACCTATTGTTTTTAGCTCCAAGCAGACAATACCTGGAATGTATGGGACCACATTTGAAGAGGAACGTTGGCCAATTGCAAGGTATCCTTGAATGAGCAATCAACATAAAGAAGGGTGAAAATATCAGCAATGGAACACATACAGCACCATTTATTTCAAAATTGTAGAGTAAGCCTCAGATGAATCTGTGTTACATCATTATACTAAAGACCAATTTTGTTCAACATCAGTAAAAAGCAATCATTTGAAAGACAGATAATATGAAGAGTCGCTTTGGCTGGCTTAAACGTGGCACCTCACCCTTGCCTGTAACTCATTGCAATTGCTTCTTCATTTGCATAAATAGTCATTGAGTTTTTTTTTTTAATTTAACTGAAAATGTAAAAAAAAATCAACCCTGTTGTCAATCAGACTGTAATAAATAATGTTTCTATGTAAACAGAGTCAAGGCTACATTAGAGCTAAAAAAAGTTACCTCTGGGAGAGTACTATTATTACTTTTTTACCAATGACATCCCAGTCCTATTTTGTTCTTCCTGCTTCCTCGGCAAGAATTTCTCAGATACCAAGTTGCTGAATTGTCCTCACATTCTAATAACATCTAATACAAAACTGGCTCTTGTTTCTCTAGTTTTTCCTTACAATCACCTAGCCTAAACCCAAATCCTTCAATAAGCCCCTCCAGTGCCCTCTGATTGAAAAACCATGTGCTCTTCCTTACTGCAGCAAGATCAATAAACCTACATGTGTTTGACTATAGGTGTGTTCCTGGCAGTCTTTAACTAGTGGGCTTCAATACGTCAAATATTTATTGAGCATCTACTATGTGCTAGGTACTGTAGTAGGTGATGGGAGAAAGTAAGGAGTTGATTACAGATTAGAAAATGGAGGAATCTGGGACAACTCCAGAGCAACTGATGATAAGAAGGGAAAAAAGAAATGAGTAACTAACCCAGAGTAGTAGAAGTTGAGCCAACTGTGTACAGGGCACCTGGCCTTCCCTTATCTCCCATTGCAGGTCCCTGCTGAGTAGACACAGACTCTGTACCAAGTGGCATGGAATAGAGGTAGACATCAGCCCCAGGTGGGAACTGTCTTTTAGACTAGGAGCCCTTGACTTGTGTAGCCTTTATCGAAAAATGATGAGTTAGGCCTATTATATTCCTATGTAGGATGTTGAGCTAAAATTCACATAGGCCAGTTCCCAGTGACAGTGAAGTCAAAAGGACTATGAAGCATTGCCCCTCTGTAGAGGGAACTGGGTGGTCATTATGGACTGTCTGCAACTGAAGGAGGAGAAAACAGATCAGTAGACAGGTGAGACTAGAGATCATGTGCAGAGAGCATCAGAGATGTCTTAAGTGAGGTCATGAAGCCCTCAAGAGATAGAGCAGCCTTTTTGTGCAATGATATTTCCATTCACATCTCCATGGGGTCTGAATGAACTTGGGTTCCTTTCTTGAGTCTCAGGTGCCCTGTCTTTACAGTTGGTACCCCTTTTGTTGAATTAGCTCTTATTGCCACATTAAGAACCCTAACCAAGTCAAGAAAGAACAAGAGATCTTTGCTTTTTTGGGGACAGGGTCTCACTCTGTCACCCAGGCTGGAGTTCAGTGGTATAATCATGGCACACTGCACCCTTGAATTCCTGGGTTCAAGTGGCCCTCCCACCTCAGCCTCCCAAGTAGCTAGGACTACAGGCACACACCACCACACTCGGCTACTTTTAAAACATTTTGTAGCGATGGGGTCTTGCTGTGTTGCCCAGGCTGGTCTTAAACTTCTGGCCTCAAACAAACCTCCCCTCTCAGTTTCCCAAAGTGCTGGGATTATAGGTGTGAGCCACCACACCTAGGTGAGATTTTTAAACATTACAAGACTAGTAACCTAAAAGAGGAGAATGAAGGGAAGTAGAGTTCACACAGCAGCCTCTGAGTTTAGCGTGGAACCATCCAGGGACCGGAATAGATGATGAACGCAGGAAGAGGTTGGTGGTGGAACTAGTGACGTGCTAAGTGGTATCAAGCCTTGTTGCTGCCATTGTCTTGCCTTTCAAGACGTAGCTTGGGAGTCAACTCCCTGGGGAAGCCTTCCCTTGCGTCCTCCAGTCTGAGATGAGAACTTTCTTCCCATGTTCTGACAACACCTTGGTTTACCACCTCAAAGCCCTTACCACTCTGCATTCTGATTACTAAAATTGATTCTGTCTGAATGTCCTCTAGCCCGATGGTTCCGAACTGGGGGCAAGTTTGCCCCCTCAAGGGCTACTTTACAATGTCTGGAGGCATTTTGCTTGTCATAACTGTGTGAAGGCAGTTACTGCTGATAAACATCCAACAGCACACAGGATAGCCCTTGACAGCAAAGAATTATCTTGCCAAACATGTTAATAGTGCTGAATTTGAGAAACCCTGCTCTAGGTCAGTACTATTACTTTTGGTGACAATAGAAATATTCTGTTATGTGTGCTGTCTAATACAGTAGCTGCTGACTGCATGCGGCTACCATGCCCTTCACATGTGCAAATAAGGAGCTTTTTCTTTTTTTGAGACAGGATCTCACTCCGTTGCCCAGGCTTAGAGTGCAGGGGTATGATCCCGGCCCCACTGCAGACTCGACCTCCAATGCTCAAGCGATCGTCCCAAATCAGCCTCCCAAGTAGCTGGGACTACAGGCACGTGCCACCATGCTTGACTAACTTTATTTTTATTTTTTGTAGAGATGGGGGTCTCCCTATGTAGACCAGGCTGGTCTCAATCTTTTGGGCTCAAATAATCCTCCTGCCTCAGCCTGCCAGAGTGCTTTAATTTTTTTGTTTGTATTTAATTTTAACTACAGTCATGTGTCACTTAACAATGGCGACACATTATGAGAAATGCATCATTAGGTGATTTTGTCATTGTGAGACCATCCTAGACTGTACTTAAACCTTGATAGTATAGCCTACTATACACTTAGACTACGCAGCGTAGCCTATCGCTACCAGGCTACAAATCTGAGTAGCATGTTACTGTGCTGAACACGGTCAGCAACTGTAATACAATGGTAAGCATTTGTGCATCTAAACATATCTCAACCTAGAAGGTACAGTAAAAATACAGTATCATAATCTTATGGAACCACTATCATATATGTGGTCCTTAATTGACGAAAACATCATTATGTGGAGTCTGGCTGTTATTTGAATTTTTTTTTTTT